CCATTTTCTGCCCCTGACACGTGGTCCGTGGCCATTTTCTGCCCCTGACACGTGGTCCGTGGCCATTTTCCGCCCCGGGGAGGTGGTGGTAGGGAGGGGGACTCTCCCTCCAAGCAATAGCTGCCTCCCTGTCCTCCACGGCAGAACGGATTAACGGTAATTACATTGACCCTTATGGGAAAATTTGCTTTGGGTCGCAACCAATTCGGGTCGTGACCAGAGTCGCGGAACGAATTAAGTTCATGAACCGAGGTTCCACTGTAAATGTTATTTTTCTAACCATTCATGAATGTTATTCTCTTCACCTTAAATTCTTCAGGAGAAATATCTGAATTATAAAGATTTCTATTTTTAAAACATTAACTGAAATTTTGACCACCAAAAAAAGAGGAAGCACTGTAGCGACGGCAAGTCTTATAGTAACATCTTCTTTGTACTGTCCACACAATCTTCACGGCTAAGGTCTGTCAACCAGCTTCAAGCGATTCCATCAACGTCTCTCCACATTCCACATTACTGTGTTTCACTGGATTTTTCAAAATCTAAACAAGTTTTCTATCAAGATTTTAAACAGTTTAAATGCTCATTTTACTAAGATGTTCATCAATGTAAAAGGGGGATGCCAACAGGTTGCTAGAGAAATGCTGTAACATTTCCATATGCTTCCACATCTTTTCATCATATTTGCCAAATGATCAACACTCCTGAATTCCTGAACATACTGAAGCATTTAAGTTGGCTTCTGACCATTTAAGATGACATCATTAAGACATGATTTCAGGGAGAATGCATAATGCAAGTTTATGTGTGCGGTGCTCCTTTTTAGGCATCTCCTCAACATTCTTAGCTCCTGGTTTATCTTCGTTTCCATGGATTTTGTTCCATGGATATCCTTTTCTGGTCCTCTCTTGTCAGGGACTGTGAGCTCCTTGTGAATTGCCTGGGTATGCTGATTATACAGTAACAGTACTAGTTAGCTCAAGAAAGTAATTCTGGAGGAAAACCAATTTTTGATTTCATTGTTTCATACTTTTTCTTTCTTTTGCTTCTACAGTCCTCGATCTGATGTCTAGATGATAAATTGGGGTGATTATATTATGGTTCCCATGGCAGCTTCTTTTTAAATTATTAAAGGGAAAACAGGACTTCCTCGTTAGCAATCTTGAAGTCTAGTATGATGCTACACTTCATCTTCCTACAGATTATTCTTCAAAATCCAGTAGATGATTTTTATCTTTGAGTTTCAAAGTATTTTTTAGCAATGGGGTTAACATTTAAATGTTTTGAATGACTAAGCTGTCAATCTTTAAGCTATAAATGACGGCATCTTTCACACAAGGACCATTCAAACCATTCTCACATATTTTTTGTGCTTTGCATCTTCTGATGCTGAACATCGCTTAACATTTATGGCTCATAACTATGAAGGACAATCTTTGGATGTTTAAAGCTGGCTGGTCAGGCCCACGTCTTACAACATACAAAGAGAGATTTCATAAACAAATGGAGCAAACAAATCTGCAAATTATAGTTCTGTAACATTAACCTGACCCTTATGAACTTACATGCAGATAAATGGCTTTTAAATTTTCAGCATTTAAGTAGGTATGTTCTAGAACTCCATGAATAAATTACTTAAATTATCTGTCCCATAAAAGGAAGCAGTACTTTGAGGAGAAATGCCATAACAATGGATTTGCAAAGTGTCCAGAAGAATTTGTGTTGATTATAGAGCACCATATTCTTAAGTGAACAATTCCATCATGATAAAGAAAGGAATTTTATTATTTTTATATTTAAATTTTAATCTGCTACAATTTTAACCACTGCCCTAAATCTGTGGGGATTCATGTTACACATTATGATTTTTATGGCTTGAAATATGCTGTATCATGTTATAAGTTGGTTTTGAATGGGATAACCTTGAAAGGCAGGTGGTCAATACTGATGTAATAAACAAAACAATGTACGTGATTCTTATCAGTCCATGAACTAGAAGACCTTCTCCAGAATGGAAAACAAGGTCTAATTCAGCACTCTTTACAAGGTATTTCAATGCAACTCATCTGCACGGAATTGCGCATTCACACGGTTAGAACTCCCTTCAGCATCAAGGTGAAAGTGCCCCTCAGGCTGTTTCTGATTAGAAACACCCTCCTGCTTAATCTCTGATTTCCTGAAGAGGAACTGGAAATTCTCCAAAAAGCATCCTGAAGCAAAGAAACCCAAAGAAACTCTACCCTGAGCTGGATGTCGCCACTATAATTCAGTAGATACGTCAAATGCTTACTACTTCAATGATGCGGACCCTTGGAGTTAATTAACTCTTCAAAATACGTATCTGCTCAAACAGCAGGACGGTGAACAAAGCTTCCAACGAGACTCTTCAGCCTGCGTATTTCTAATATCAGAGAACATGGGGGGACGGGGGGGGGGAATTCATATGCAACTCAACTCTCCAATCAACTCCATGTGTGAAACATGATGGGCAACTCCACTAAAGTATGAAATTGTTCAGCTTACAGTTCAGTATAGAAACGGGCTCGCTGGGTTACGCTCAGCCTTTCTGAGAGCAGGAAATGACACTACGGTTGTGTCCCTGCCCATCGCAGAGCGAGACAGACAGACAGACTGAGAGACAATCGATCGATCTTTGGAAAGTCTAAAGGCAAAGAGATTTTGCAGGTCACTGCAGCATTTCAAGCAACCCCAGAAGGCAGACAAAGGTCGCCCTCAGCAGGCGAGCCACAGAGAGGGAACAGACGTGCACCTCCGTCTCCTGTCGGTCGTATCTCGGGCTGCGCTCACGCGGGGCCCGCGTTCCTGTCGCAACGGAGAGGCTCTGCGAGATTCCGAGCGTTACTCCTCCGAATGGCGCCGGGGGAGGAGCCGCCTT